CGGCCCTGCCTGGCCCTGGGGAGCCTGAGGGCCGAAGGAGAAGCAGCTGTGGGCGTGGGAGACACAGGTGTGCGGAAGCGGATGATGACGTGAGGTGATGGGAGCACAGAGGAGGGATTCCTGCTCGTCGGCGGAGGAGAGGTGTGGGAAGACAACAACTTTGAGCTGGGTCTTGAAGGACGTAGGGGACAGTGTGCCAGGCGGAAGAGAGCAGGTGGCTGTTCTGGAGTAGGTCAGACTTGGAGGGGCTGACCCGTTAGGGAGCAGAGGCAGGGCGTGGGGCGAGGGGCGGGAGTCAGGCTGGGCCGGGCGAGGGCAGAACGCCTGGCTGTGTTGGGAGGAGCTGGGACTTCATCCTGGAGGGAGGCGGACCTTGGCCCCTGCAGGCAGACGTGGCCTCTGCCACGTGTGTGCCCTGCCTGCTCGTTCCCTGAGAGCCTCTCGACCCTCCTGTCCTGGTCCCCGGCCATCCCACCTGCTCTCAGTGGGTCGGGAGTTCAGTCCAAGCCACTCCTTTCCCTCGCAGGTGTGTGTTCTCGCGTTGTTCATCGCCGGCCGAGCGCCAGCGTGGGCCTGAGACCCACGTGTCTGGAGTCCCGTGGCCTCAACACAGCCGGAAGAGGCAGGTGTGGTTATGAGCCTCATCGCCCCTGGGGGACGATGCAAGGTCTCGCCCCTGAGACCACGCAAGGTGCCTGAGGCACGGAGCTGGTGGGAGGGGACTGGGGGTGACACCCAGCAGAGGAGCACCTGCCACCTGCCAGGCTCCACAGGCGGTCGAGGGACTTCCTAAAGGGGACGTTTACTTAGAGAGCCTCTAACCTTAGGGCTCCTCATCCTCTACCCTGGTCTAGTCGCGTGCAGTTCCGTGACCTCAGTGCCAGGGCACGAGCCCAGGTGGGTCCCGTCGTGCTGTGCTGGGTGGGGGCTCTCGGCTCGCACCCCCCAGTCTGGCCTGCTTTCTTCCTCTCCCTGGCACGTGCGCCCTGCGTCGACCACACCCGCCGCGCGACCCTGAGCTTCACTTTCTCTGATGGCTCACTCTGAGCGCTCTCCCCGCCTTCCTTCGCAGCTGCCTTTGGAACCCACGCCCTCCCCTCTGGGCCCTACGAAACCAAGCGAGGCAGCGTTCGCGGTTCCTGCGTGTTTCTCTCAGCAGCGGAGCGCTGCCCTTCGGTCGTGTGTCCCAGCTGGATGCCTGGGACACGTTCAGTAGAGGCTTAGTGAGGGAATGAATGAATTCACTCACTAGAGATGCTCAGATATGAGAAAATTGGAATAAAATTTGAACTGTGCTTCATTATAAGCCATGCAGCTGGTTGGTCTATTAGGGTAGCAGTTCACTGGAGCAGACGGAATTAGAATTGTCATGATTTCGCAGGCGGCTTCGACGTCGGCAGTGATCGTCAGACATCCATCTCTGTCACGTGCAGCCAGGGAGGTACTGCCCCTGCTCTCCTCAGACTCGAGCATTGTGAACCGCTTTGAGTTTTCCATGCGTAAAAGGTAGAGTGTTTAAACTGAGCAAACATAGTGCAATAATAGGATAGTGTGTGATCTGATTTGTAAGGTCTTCACGTAGCGTTCAGGGGTTAGATTACACCTTCCCTCTTCAATGGAATTAAAATTTTGTTGCTTTCTTTCTTTTTTTCAAGTCATACTGTAATTTGTGCTATTTAAGAAGTTAAGATCTCCCACTTCGATGAGGTTCATGGAGAAGCTTTGTTGAGAAGGTTGACTAGGACGAGGCTCATGCTTGGACCAGAATTCAGGGCAGGGAGCTCTGTTGGGGGGCGCGTGTCTGCATGGCCTGCAGGCGGCGTTCACTGGAGGGGGGTCCTGTCTCGGGGAGAAGCCGCACACTTGAGTGCATGAGCCGCGTCCCTCGTGAGGGGCAGACGGAGTTCCTGGGTCCCAGGTGTGGCACTGAGAAGGACTCTGGCCAGCAATGCACAACTCTCATCTAATCATGCAGGAACGGCAGACAAAGTTGACTCTAGGTCTTTCTATAAACAAAACAAAACAGGCCCGTACTCTTACAAAAATGCCAGTGTCACAAAAGATGAAGGGAGTGTGAGGGGCTGTTCCAGGCCAAAGAACACTCAGGAGGCCTGACATCCAAGAGTGACACGGACCTGCACTGGGTCTTTACTTGAGGGAAAAATGCTATAAATCACTATTTTGGGGCAATGAGGAAATTAGAATATGGATGGTAGAGCAGATGAAAGAATTATATCTGGGTTAATATCCTGAGTTAGGTTAACTGTCCCGTGATTATGTAAGAGGCTACCACTGTTGTTGAGAAACACACCCTGAAGCATTAAATAGATCCTGTGCCTTCAGTGTGAAGTACTAAAGTACTAAGAGGCAGAGGTGCATGGTATGTGCATCTTCTCCCAGACGGTTTGGAAAAAATATGTACTTAATATGTATTGATATAAAGAGATTCTTGGCCTGCAGAATCTGTCCCTGCAGCCCCCCTGCATTTTCGTGTCCAAAGAATGCCGGATTCTCAACTCTTCTTTCCCGGCTGTTCCCGTCCTCCTACTCAGTTCATTAAATCAGCAGAGATTTACGGAGCAGCTACTGCGCTTGCGTAATTGAACCACATGTATTGTGACGTATCGAGAGCCGACTGTTGTTTGGCGCTAGGAGTGCGCGGTGGTCAGGACACATCGAGGTGCTGTAGGAACACACCACAGGGCCGCTGCGGTGAGCTCGAGCTGGGGTTTGGAGGATGAACAGTAGCAGGAAGGTGAGGAAGGGGTTCGTGTGGAGGTGAGAGGGAGGAAGGGAGGGCGCAGGCAGGAAGCAGGGCGAGATGACCGTGGACTGGGACGGCAGGTGGGCCTCAGAGTGCGAAGGCCCCTCTGCTAGGCTGAGGTATCTGGGCATCCTCCCTGCTCTGGGACAACTCCCGCCAGGGTTTGCAAGGTGGGGAGTGATCAGGTCTATGCTGGCAACGATCGCTTATTCATTCAACAAACATTTACTGAGCACCTGCGTGTGCCAGGCACTGTTCTAGGCTCTGGGAACTCATGAATGGAGAAACAAACCAACATCCCTGTGCTCATGTGGCTTCTAATGTTCTGGTGGTGAAAGACAGACTACGGAGGTCATCGATGAAGTGCCTGAGGATTGTGTTAGCCGCTGTGGGTGAGGTGTGGAGACGGGGAGGGAACCGGAAGTGACTGGCCGGTTCTCGCCGAGAGGCCACACCCGTGCTGCTCTGGCTTTGGAGGAAATACGGTGTCTGTAAAAACTTGCTCGCACACTTCACGTGCTTGGGTAAGGCATGAGGCGAAAAGTGACTTGGTTTAACGGCACGATGCCCACTCTCTGCCCCCCCCGTCCTGCTGCCTCCAAGGTGCTTCCGTTTCAGGCGACTTTCCAGGTGGGGGCAGGGGAGCCTCGTTTGTACCCGTTGCCTCGCCCCAGGTGTTGGGGAGCTGACAGGTAAACCATGGGGTCTCGTGCCCTGTGCTCTTTGCTTTGTATCACAGCTGTTCTTGTGCCCTCGTAACGAGGGTGGGCCACTGTCATTTGTCATGTCCTTTGACTATTATTTCAGATGTAATAAGAGACATGTATGTGTGTGTCTTTATCTTGGAGGCTAAAGCTATGGAAAATGTATTCTAACAACTAGAGTTGAGCGATGCTAAAGAGAATCAACTAGATTTTCAGAATCCCAAACCCCCAGCTGCCTCTAAAATGCAAGCATTGCGCACCATTTTCTGTTTCAACAAGCAGGTCTGCTAAGGTCTTTTTTCCTATACGAAAGAACACGATTTCAACTTGTAGGAAAACTCCTTAAAGTAGGTAGAAACATTTTGTGTGGTCCCTTGTATAAGGTGGGAGAACTATTTTCATACTTTAATTCCCATGAGGATTAAAAAACCTGGTACTTTGAATCACATACGCTATTTGAATGGTACCAGGTAGGTGCTTTTAGTCTGACATTTCTTAAGTGAAATAGAAAGCTCAGGAGAAATATCTATTTATATACTTTAGCCTGGATTTACTTCCAAATACTTGAGAAAAGATCAAAAAAAGAAAACCTGAAAAAGTTCATTGTAAAGATGGTTTCTGGGCTAGAACTGGGATGGTGCTGAGAATTACAGTCAGTCCCCGACTCACGAGGTCTCGGCTTCACGACGGGGTGAGAGTGGCGCAGACGCGGCACAAAGCTGCGCGATGCTCTCGTGAGCCGCAGCACGCGGGCGGCCGGGCCGCCAGGAGGTGGGAAGACCACTGACTCTGCTGTAGGCCGTGCGACCCGGTGAGTGTGCCCAGACGGAGGCTAACACATTCTGAGCACGTTTAAAGTGGGCTGGGTTAAGCCATCACGTTCGCTGGGTTAGGAATATTAAGTCTGTTTTCCACTTAAGATATTTTCAACTGACGATGGGCTTATCGGGACGTAGCCGCGTCATAAATCAAGCAGCAGCCATCGGTATCACACCTCTGTTTTGTGTTCCTGTTGTGCTTTCTTGTTATTGACTACAGATTTTTAAAAAATCCGAATTTCTCTTTATTGTAGCCCAAAAAGAAACTGCCACGTGGCTAGTTTTCATGAGAGATACTCTCAGCTCGCTCAGAAGGTCCAGCGGGAATAGTCTGTGGTGGTCGTAACAGCGGTTTCTGCGCTGTGCAGTGTCCCTGCAGAGCTGGGGAGCCTCCTTGGACCTGCTTCCCCTCTAGCGCAGCCCTTGCTGTGCCAGGGGTCGGGGAGGCACCTCCAGCTGGGAAGGGGGCCGACTCTCTCTCCCCAGAGGCGCTGGGGGAGAGGGACGGAGGGATTTTTGCCACTTTACGGAAGGGCATTGCAAGGGCCCGAGTAGCGGAGACTGTGCTTCAAGGGGGGCTTTGAGGAGATGCCCGGACGTCCACCTGTCGTGTTCCTAGGGGTGTGCCTCCCCTGCCCACACCTGGAGACACTGATGCCACGCCTCGTGTGCCGAGGCTCCTCACATGCTTTCTGTTCTTATTTCGTGCCCCAGGTGGATTCCAAAGGGAAAGAACCTCACAAATATGACAACAAGCCGCCTGAAGCGCAGGATTCTGTTTATTATGCCAAAGAAGAAAAGAAAACGTTGGTAGAACCTTTAATCCAGCGTGGTGCAGGTGACGTGAGATTTCATTCTGCCGTAGACAACACAAAATGCTCCGGGCTGAGAATGTGGTTTTTTTTTTTCCCCAGACAAATTTTATACTGCAACAATATTTCTTGATTTGTAACTATATGATGTATTAATGAAGTGTTCAGCTTGTAGGGCAGTGTTAGGCAGAGCAGGCAAACAAAATTCTGGCTGGGCGTGGTGGCTCACGCTTGCAATCCCAGCACTTTGGGAGGCTGAGTTGTGAGGATCGCTTGAGGCCAGGAGTTCAAGACCAGCCTGGGCAACATAGTGAAACCCCGTCTCTACAAAAGAATAAAAAAATTAGCCAGGTGTGGTGGTGCATACCTGCAGTCCCAGCTACTCAGGAGGCTGAGGCAGGAGGATGGCTGGAGCCCAGGAGTTCAAGGCTGAAGTGAGCTAGGATTGTGCCACTGCACTCCAGCCTGAGGGACGGAGTGAGACCCTGTCTCTAGAAATAAAAACACAGAGGGTGCAAAAGAACATTTAGTCACTATGGGTAAAATCTCCTTGGCAACGCACACCCCATACAAGTAGCTGGGGCTGCCCAGCACCCAGCGCCTTCACTCTGGGAGGCAGAATGGTGCTCGGACGTGGGCTTTGGGTTTGAATCCTGGCTATGGCCCCACTGAGCCAGTATGGAGGGCCAATTCCTCAGCCACCAGTGGGCATGTAAGTTTGAGGGTTGCCGCGAACACCACAGCTTCCTGATGAGGGTCACTCCCCTGCCCTTCCTCTCACCTTCCAACCTGTCACCCCCGAGAACAGGGACCCCTCCAGCCCAGCACTGGGGATGGTTCTGTGGGCTGAGGGTCAGGAAGGGACAAGGAGGACGAGAACGGACCAGGGGAGGGGAGGGAGCCCCAGGGCTCTTGCCTGGGAAACGGAGCTGGTCTGTGGGTGGCGTTTCCCACTTTGGACGACCGAGCCACCAAGGGCCACGTGCATGTCCTCGTGGACGTTGAAGGAACTAGCTGGCGACTTCTTTTTCTTCTGCTGTCACCTGTTGCTTCCGATCAGGGTGAAGAGCAACTTGTCAGGAACTGTGGAACTTTGCAAGCATTTAATACACCCAGTTGTGATGCTGATTAAAGTGATTTTGAGCTGTTGATTAAGTCCGGTACCTTAAGATGCACAGCTTTAGCGCCTGATGTCCTTAAACATATTTTGAGGCAATGAAGCCGCGTTTCCTTAAAATACATTCTATGATTTTACTGTCTGGTGGGGTTGCCTGGAATTTATTTATTTCTCACTGGACTAACCGGACACAAGCTTGTCGGCCGTCGCTGTGTGTCGTCCCTGGACTGACTATGGCGGGGGGAGGGCACAGCGATCCCTGGACGTCTGTGGAGGGACGATGCTGCAATCGAGGCCAGCGGGCTGGGCCCCTCGACAGAACCCAACACAGAGGGTGCGAGGGGGGCAGGGGCGAGATGTTGGGGGTCTAGGATCCTGGGCCAGGAGGCAGCCCGATGACACGGGAAGCTCAGGGAAGCTGAGCTGGGTAACTTGGTTTGGGCTGGAAAATGTAGAAGGACCTCAGTTTCCCCACTGGTGTGAAAAGTCTGTCCGTGTTGTCTTCCCTCAGAAGGTGACGTGTTTAAAGCACAGACGCCCAGCAAGGAAACGCAAGGGGCTCTGGACGTCAAAGAGGACCAGGACGTGCAGGTGGAGGTGCCCGTGGACCAGGTGGGTAGCGGGGACCTGCGGTCGCCCACATGCCTTCAGTTCCTCTCCATCCGCCCTTCTTGCCTCGGCCTCATCCTCTGCCCCTCCCCCAAGTTCTCTCCAGCTTCTAGAATGTTCTGTGCCCCCTCCAGTGAGTGGGTGCTCGTGCTTCATGTCCTACAGCATCTTCCTGTCTGCCCGTCCCTACCACACAGGCTTTTCTGCTGGGGGGCCCCTTTTTGGCACTCGCCCTTGAGTGACGGCAATTCGATTATTGCCTTTGTCCCTCTCTGAGCTCCGTGAGAAGGGAAGTGGTCTGCCCCGCTCGGTGACGCAGCCCCTGTCCCTAGCGCAGCTCCCGGCGTGGAGGGGTCCAGGTACTTACTCGCGGAAAGGCCGAGTGACGGGGTAAGTGGTGTGCGGATGCGATCGTGGGACCTCGAGCCTCGATCCTTAGCGGTGGGTGGGGACTGAGCGTGGTGACACGCGGTGAGGGCCTGGCCGCCGCCCCCGCTCCTGGCTGCACGGAGGGGCGGGGTGGGGTCCTGCGGAGGGCGAGGCTCCCCGGCCCTTGGGCCCCGGCACTGCTCCCGCAGGTGGGAGACCACGGGTGAGCCCCGACCCGTGACTGTGTCTTCACCACCCACCTCAAGGCACTGCATGTTCATTTCCAATAGTTGGCTTTTGAGAAGAGAATTTACGTTCTGTAAAAGGTCAGTGTTAGCGTTTGAGTCCCATTTTTATTCCTCTTAGGGAGACGAGGTCCCAGCCCTGCTCTTGTAATTACAAAGCACCAAATTTGGTAACAATGAGCTCCTTGTTCAGTAATGGATCACTCTTAACTCTTTCGTTTTATGTTTAACTTCTATTTTTCTTTTCTGTGATATATTTTAAAGATGTTATAGACTGTGTCTTAATACACTAGCTTTCTGCTTCCTTTTTGGCATTTTGAGTACTTTTCCCACATGTCGTGTTACATTTTCTTAATTAGTAGTAATATCATCTACTCTTTTTCTCAACATGATAAAAATGACCCAAAGATTTGGTTTTTGTCTTAAAACACAAATTAACAATTTAAATTTTTTTTAAACAATTAGGAATTTTATAGAAACATGGAAATTAGGACATTTAGGCAGTTACTTCTATGCCAAATGTATCCTTGTAATTGGTGTATTGTTATGTGTTTTCTGGGTCATAGACGTGAGCGTGTCCGACACGAGTTTTAAATGCAGGCAGAATCCTGGTATAATGACTGCCGTTGCCACAGCTGTTGGCGCACAATAACCATCTTCATGAGTTTCCGTCGCTGGTGTGTTTGGTTTCCGTTGCGTTGAGGTTGTGGGGTGAACGCGGTTACCCCAGAGGAGTGTGAAGAGAGAGGAAGGAAGGGAGTCGCAGCCCCCGGGTGCCCCATGGGGAGGGCGAGGATGGGGCTGGGCTGGACGCTCCACCAGCCAGCGGAGAAAGAGAAAGGGCTTTTGTGTGACATTCTTCTCGGTGAGTGGAGATGTTGTAGTTGTCAAGAGACAATATTAACACGAGTTCTGTGGTTTTGAGGGACGTGGAGACAGACTCCCAGCTGTGGCTGTGCCTGGGGTATGAAGACCGGGGGTGGGTCAGTGTCCCCCTGCTCCTGCGGCTGGCCTGCCAGATGTGCGGGTGCTGGAGGGAGCCTGGTGTTGGGGGGAACCTCCCTGCACAGCACCCGTGGGGGGATGCTTGACGCACCCCATCTCCCACCTGCCGTGGCCCGACACACAGCAGGGTGTCCACAGATGTTTATGCAGTGCGGTTGAAGCGGATTTGAGAAGCTCCCATGCGACTGGATCGATACGTGCACGGCACAGTCATGTTGAGTGACACCTGGCCGTCCAGACAGAGCAGACTGTGCTCTGTGTCTCTGAACAGCGTCCCTGTGCTCAGCCACGTCTGGAAATGCTCCTTTTCTATCGCTCCCATGAAGCATCACAGGGCACTTTAGCACACTGAATGTTTCAGGGAAGTCCTAGAGTTCAGCTTTCGGTTAACTCTGATCATTTATGCGCGAGCCCTTTTCCTCGTGAGGGTCCCCGTGAAACAGTTTGGGCCCTGCCGGTGCGCGGCTTCCAAGGACAGGAACAGAGGCTGTGGTTGCAGAGACCCTGGGCACTGTCCCTAAGTGCTAGAGGTGGACCCTGCACTCCTGGGGCAGCAGTGGCCTGGGGGGCGGCCACGTCCCAGGGGCCCCTCGCGTGGAGATCTGCGTGAGGAGGGTGGCGGCTGCACGGCCACGCTCTGGCCTTGTGCTCGTGTGTGGGGTCCCCCCTTTGGTGCTGGGTCGGTGATGGCTTTCCCTGCGTAAACAGGGAAGATTCACATATCTGAGCCCGTGGGACTTTCTAGTTCGTGGATGAAGGACGGTTTGACCCTAATGTTACACTGTTTGATCACAGTGCTGACTTCTGTAGTAACATGGCATGCTTTTCTCCTGTTCCTGAGTAATTGATTTTGGCTTTGTGGGTTGGCCTGAACATCTCAGCTTGTTGTTCTTATCATGCCTGCGGTGTGATGCTTTCTCCAGGTAGTGTGCTGTAAAGATAAAATGTTACAACATAAAACATCCCAGCTAACATATGTGTGAATTTGGAGTCAAACCTAGATTGAAGAAGGGAAATTCAAGCATGAGGAATTCTCCAAACCCAGGTCGTAGCTTTGTGGTTCTTTCCCTCTGGTTGCGTGGCAAGGGCGGACTTCTCCGCCATCCCCACGCGAGATGTGGCTGTGTGACCTGCCTCCCCTGGTGACAGGAAGTAGCCTCTGGGCGAGACTCCTCATTGGCCTCAGAACCCCACGATTCTCCCGAGAGTGGAGAGAGGTTCCAGGGCACGTCGGGATGGCGTGTTGTCTCCTGCGGCAGCCCGTGAAGATGAGGAAATACCAACTGAGAGAGAGAGGCTCTCCGGGCCGTGGGGGGGCATCTCTGGAGCTGGGAACAGAGGCCTTAGGTGGGGTCCCCACAGGTAAAGCAGGACTTACGAGGCACCTCGTACCTGCTGACCAGAGGCGTCTGGAGTGACCACACCACTCCTTTTGATAAGGAAGAGATTTACAGTTTCTAACGTTTCTCCGGCAGTTTCATTGAGCAGGTTGGCACTTCTTTGGTGGGGTCAAAGGTAAAAATACAGAGCAGATGGGTCCTGAATTTGGGAAGACCATGGTGACTTTCCGGCTACCTGTAGAAGTGGTCCAGAAAGCCACACCATTTCATGTGCGCCCCGGTTTTTTAAAGCAGTTTGACACAGGTTGACTGTGGCTAAATTTAAAACACAGTATATTTTCTCCCCAGACACCAGCCGAGACAGTGGAAGAAGATGAGGAAATACATGACAGCTCCCCTGGTTTCGAAGGCAGCAAGGTGAGTCAGTTGCATTTTGTGCTTAACACTCGGGTCTGAGCTCCTGCCACGTCGAAGGGGGCTCACGGTCGGTGGTGAGGGGCTCCAGCGTCACGGCGGGTCCGGAGTGCACGCCAGCATGGAATGAGAAGCACAGCGCGTGTCTCCCGGGCGGGCCGTGGCTTAAACAGGTTGCTTGTGTGCTGGAAAACCACGCGAGTAATCGTAGAGGCTTCTGTACTTGTCCTAATCACCTTACACTGCGCCTCCAGCCACCAACTTACAACCTTTTTTGCCAGCAAGTTTCAGGATGTGTGTTTAGCGGAGAGGTCGGGGAGGTGGGCGGATGACCAGCTGGCTGCGTCTGTGGCTTGTCCCTGCCGTGTCTGCAGGTGGCAGCACAAGCCAGGACACTCGCGTGCGGCTCCGCTGCCCTCCCGCCCACGCAGACGCCTTAGACGTCCCGTCCACGTCCACGCCGGGAGCGTGTCTGTGCCACTCTGCGAGATGATGCGACTAATCTACATAAAACATGTGCGCTGGAAAACAAAATTTACTTTGAATACACCCTTCTTGTGGCTAAGAAGTGGATAGACTTCTGGGAGTTTGTTGTCAAGCTTCTGTCTCTAGATTTTCATTATTTTTCAAGGTAGTTTCTTGTTTCTAAATGTTTGGCCTCGGGCAGGAGGTTGTGTAATGCGTCTGACAGGTCCAGTCTGGGCTCAGAAAGAGCCAGCGTGCCGTGCTGTATGCATTGTAACTGTTAGAAGTAATGATGAAAACGAATTAATACTGGATTTCAGCCCTTCCTGGCCAAAAGGTCACAGTGGTGCATGCGTATCTGCGCTCAGTGAACTGTGGTTTCACCTAGTGTCCATGGGTACCTTCATTGACAGATTAACCACAGGACATTTATTGGCTGTTGACTAAGTTAAGAGTTTTAGGCATGTTGTTGCTGGCTCGGCCTCCCCTAGGACAGACTGTGACATGCTAAGGGGCTGGGACGGCGGGCACCTTGTCATCCCACGTGGTGTTCGCAGGTGCTGCGCGGGGTAGGCGTTGAGTAAATGTCACGCGTCTGCTTCCAGTCGCCTGTGATTAAGTTGTTAAACCTAAATATGTAATCCTGGATTAAAATGCTAGTTACCTTGCGAAGTTGTAAGAGAACATATTACAAACATTACTTTAGAAATACGCATTATATTTCTGATGTTTGATCACAAGGATTTCCGTTGTTTTGAAATTTTTCACAGAAAGATGGTATATATAAACAAAACTTGGCATTTTGACTATTTTCAATGTACAATTCAGTGACTTTCGTTACGCTTGCCCTGTGGTGCAAACTGTGAGCTCCGTCTGTTGCCAGTGTGGGTCTGTCCCGCCAGGCAGGAACTGCCGGCTTAGCACCGACTCCCCGTCCTGGTTTGGTCCAGCCCCGACTCTGTTGTCTGTGTAAGCACTTAAGACAGTCCCAGGCAGAAGGGGCTGTGTGAATGCCGTGTTCATGCCCAGACCCTGCCCACGCCAGCCCAGGGGGTTGTGGACAAGTACGTTTAGTTTGTCTTGATGCGTGTCAATGACATAGAAGCGGGAGAAATAAAAAGCAAAAGCAAGAACAGAACTATGAGTTCCTAGGACACATCTTCATCCTCAGAATACTTTAAATATGTTACTTTTACAGTCATGACAACTGACAATATCTGGCACTTTAATGATGTTTTACATCTTTGAAAATGGAACATTATTAACATTAACTAATTTGGAAAGCTGGTCTGTGAGACAATAAAGATGAAACCTGTACTTTTTCCTTTTACTATTTCCAATTGTGTCCACTGCACACAATTTTCGTTACCTTGAGTGCTTGAGAACTGTCTCAATCAGGCTTACGCTGGAGTTTTCTCCAGTTCCTAGTGCTTGATTTGTCTGGACCCACTGACAGTAAAATGTTTTATGTGCAAACCGCACTTTTTTATTTGTGCTGCCTGCTAAGTTTGTAAAGCAGTGCGTAGAGGTTTTGCAAAGATTCAATCCCTTCCAAAGCAATGTGGAAGGTGTGAATGGTGGTGCTGGAAAATGTCCCCTCAGACCATGTATCGAGGGCTTTCCGAGAAGGCACGCATTTCCTACCCCTGGGAATATTTCCGTGTGGTCTGGGGCCGGCCCTGCGGGGAGGTTTGAGGGAAGACCTCTCCCCCGGAATGGGAGCTGCCGCGTGACTCCGATGGTTTTTCTGACTCTGAGTTATCAGCCTTTTATGTTTTTTACTACCTTTGAAAAGGCTGTATAAAATTTCATGGGTAATTTTGTGTATTCAATAAGAGAGTGAGGGAGAGGGAAACGGACTTTAATTCTGGGGTGATAATTTTTTCTTCTTTCGAGAGCGTGCTCTGCACTTCACTGCCTCTGCTGTGCTGTGCGCGCTGCCCATGCCCTCGTCACTTTCACCCACCTCCAGGCTCCCTGCAAACGCTGACGCCCTCCCCAAGGTGCTCTGGAGCCTTCTCCAACAGGGACTGTCTCTTCCTCCGCTGATCTCCAACTGTATTGTGTTCGCACTTCCTATGCCATACAAATCGCATGTGAGCTTTGATTAGAGCTGTCGTGTACTTGACCATCTCTTCTGATACGTTTTTGAAGCACGAGTCTCGGCTTAATTCATTTTAGAGTCACCTTTAGCACGTCACCTGTCACACAGGAGTGACTGATCTTGATTTGATCGAGAACCTTGGAGATATCAGGTAACTATTGTCCAACTGCGGAGGCAGCGTGGGGCCCTTTGGAGACCTCTGGCCCAGAAGGTGGGGGTGTGGCAAGGCCAGGCTGAGGGCGATCCCCCAAAAACGGGACTGAAAGTGAAGGGGATGTTCAGTGAGTCTGAAAGGGCTGCCTTGGAAGAAGAGATCATCCCCAGAGCCACGATATTTCTTGCTAAGAGTTT